TGCACTTCAGTTCCCTTTGCATGGGTGCATATTAGTTGTTTAAAATTCCTCTGCCCCATCTGCATATTACCATGTTGAGATAGTACTGCACTTTCTTGAATGGAAATCTGAATTACAATGTTTACACTCAATAAGAGACTGGAAATGAGTCCTTCCCAATACATCTTTTCAAGTGAAAAACATAGACTCATTAACTGTGTTGGTACTTTACAAATTTACCATAATGAAAATGAGGCTATTTCATGAGCCCTCCTTTTCCTTCCCCCAGTGGCTACCCCTACCACTTGCATGCAAAAATGCTAAGTTCTGAAGTATCAGGCAGGCATGATTTTCAGAAAATTCAAAAACAAAATAAAACAACCCCTTGGCCTAGGAAGACCACCTTCAGGTCATATTTGCCTATATAGCTAACCTTTCCCACCACCTCCATTCTGAAGATGAAGCCCTGACCTGGCTTGTTCTTGGCTTCAGCAGGGGCATTTGTACACACCACGGGGGTTTACTTCGGTTTAATTCTACCTAAATTGAAGAGGTGGGTCTTTAAAAACACCACTTCAATTTAGGGTGAAGTAAACCCCCGTGGCATGTACACAAGGGACCCGACCCTTACCTGCCTCTCTGGTGGCAGGGAGAGGAGGGGGAGCTGCTGGCAGGCCAGGCGGTCCCTGAGCTGCGTGTGGGAAGGGAACTGGTGCTTCCTTCCATGGCAGCAGCAGTTCCCCCCCAGGCAGCACCCTCCCGCAAGTGGTCCTAGAGGGCACTGCAGCTGTGGAGGGAAGCACCAGGCCCCCATGCAGCACAGGCAGGCAGGAAGGCTCCAGGGGGAGAAAAAAAAAAAGATCAGGCTCACTGCTTTTTTTTGTTTTCCTCCAGTGGAGCTTGCCTGCATAGGCTGCTGCCAGGCTGCCTGCACAGGCTGCCTGCACAGCCCCCAAGATGCACGAGGCCTGGTACTTCCCTCTGCGGCAAACTAAAACACCTCAGAGATGTTTTATTTTGCTGCATCCCAAAGTCATTTACGTGCTGACGCATGCAAACAGCCTGCCATTAAACCGCATTACGCCACCGACACATGCAAACAGTTCCACCATTAAAGCAGTGCAAAAGGGCAGTAAGCCGCTTTAAAGCCAATTCTGTGGCATGTACAAATGGCCTAAGATAGTCAAAAGAGGTTTCAGTAGCTTCTAATTTATTAACTGCTCCTAAGCAGGCTTTGTGCTTTCACAGAATCATAGAAAAGTAGGTCTGGAAGGGACACTATTTCCAGCTACTTCAGGAGATCATCTAGTGCAATCCCCTGCTCAAGGCAGGATCATCCCTCCCCACACCATCCCATACAAGTCCTTGTCTAGCCTTTCTGGGAAAAGCCCTGTCACACAGTTGCAAGGCACATTTCTCAGAAAGACCAAGAACACCCTAACCTGTCACAAGTAAGGCAGGGTGGACAAGGACACTGTCAATGTCCCACCACTGCAAGCGTTGTTAAACTACACTTGAGAGATCCAAGGAAGAGGGCCAGGCTCACCTTATAAAAATGAATATCCTCCCTCACTAATATTTAAGAGCACTATCCTCTATTCCTCCACACCACCTGCTTATGCCAGTTCCCCTTGACAAAACTGCCAATTATCAGAGATGAGTGTTACCTCCTTGCACCTATATCACTGCCACCACAGCACAAACTACTTGGAAACAGGCTGCAATTCAGGCTGTTGCTCTGGGGTGCGGGGCAGACCAGAGCATGTGTGTGGGGCTGGTGCGTGCCGACCACTTGTTCTCCCACCCTGCTGCCCTCCACAGGCTGGCAGGTGTGACCCAGCACTGCAGGGCACAGTGGGTCCATGCAGGAAAGCTGCTTGCCACTGCGAGCTCCACACTGCCCTGGCAATGCATCTGCTGCGTGCGCAGCAGCAACAGGGATGGTGGTGTGGGGTTGTGCCCCTCATTGCTGCTGTGCATGCAGGGTTAAGCATCGCCAAGGCAGGACAGAGCTCACAGCAGCAAGCACCTTTCCTGCACAGCTCCACTCTGCCCTGCAGCACCGAGTCGCACCCACTGGGTTGAGGAGGCTCTGGGGGAGGGCAGCAGGGCAGGAGCCCGAGCCTGCAGTGGGCAGCCCATGCCTGCCCCCACCCCACGCACAGATCTGGGGGGTACAGGTCCCCCCTACCTTCTGGAGTCCACGCAGTAGCAGGGAGCCAGTCCCACCTCCTGGATGAGCCACCTGCAACCCCATCCCGCTCCCCACTAGAGCCCTGCAGCCACGCATTGTGGTCCTGGGCCCCAAGCCCCATGTGTTGCCCAGCTGAGTAGCATCCCCAGCCTCAGCCCTGCCCAACTCCCTCCCTCTCTATGGGAGCCTCAATCCCCCACTTACCTACAGGAGCTGCTCTCCAGGCTGCCTGGGGCCATGTGCATATACATGCACATAGCACTCCCTGCCTGACCGCCCTCCTTCCGCTCCCCCCCAGCCCCTTGCAGGCTGGAACTCTGCCAGCCTGCAGAGAGCTCTTTACCAGACAAACCTGCAGATTTTGCAGTTGCAAAGTGAGAAATCCTCATTTGCTTCTGGGAAAAGGTAAAAATCCACTGTTTTCTCCATTTTTCCATAGGAAATGGAAAACCTGGATCCCTGATGAACACCTAATCTGACCTTCTGCTTAACACACATCATGAGAATTCACTCACCAAGGAATTTCAATATCAAGTCTTTAATTTCTGCTTATTCTATTGCATATCCACTCTGAACTTGCAGAACGTTTAATTTCCAGCCACTGGACTTTGTTGTCATGTTCCGCTCGATTAAAGAGAAGTTCCAGAGTGGCTTCATCTGCAGAACAAAGGCAGCATGCACAGGCAAGTTCATAATTTAAAAGAAACCAGTTACTTTCCCCTGATGCCTAATGACCTTTTCATATTATTGATATTAGTCATGTTCTTTGACCTGAGAAAACT